GTAGGCCTCGTCGCCACCGGGCGCCCGAGGACAGGGAAGCAGACCGCCAGGTGACACGCCAGGCCGCACAAGAAGATGACTGGTTGGTGGGGATGTTTTTTTGATATGCGGGCTCGCGAAGCAAGTCGAAAGCCGTCCGATCACTAGCCGGGCCGCGACTAGGCAGCAAGAAAGAGAGGGGCAAGCGAAGCGAGCGCGCGGGCAGCCACTCAGAAGTGCACCAAGAGCGGCACTCCCAACCTGGTGGCGTGGAACTCCCGGTGGAGACCATCAAGTAGGCGCAGCCAAAATGGCGAGGCGGCGCGACCATGAACACGCAGAGGTCGATCACCCGTTGTGAGTCGGCATAGGGCCAGACGAAAACGAGCAGGTCCGACAGGCACTTCAGGGCGACATCCGTGCCGTAGGTGACACAACAGCATCGTGTCGGCGCCAGAGTGAAGAGGGGGCCGCCTCGTCACAGACAGGACTACAAACGGCAGATCCTCTGGTATGTACACCCGGTGGCACATGTCGAAAGCGAAGTCCATGAAGGAGAAAGCAGCCGATGGGCGCCCAGAGCCACACATGCCGAAATCCTTGCACCGAAAAGGACGGCACCGTAGCAAGTCCCCACGGAACCCAAACGGTCACCAGTGGAGGCTGACACCAAGCAGGAGCAGGCCAGGGGCCACCTGGCCGCCCAGGCTGGTGGGGACACGCGAAGCGTCAACAACTTGCATAGGATTCACTACTGGAGGGCGAACCGTTTTGAAAACATGCTCTCGCTTCTGTGCCGCGCACACTCGTCTTTGAAAGTTCGCAAGAGCTTCACGGATGGAGGGCGGGTAATTTCCAAAATGTGGCTCTCGCAACAGCGCCGCGTACATTCGTCTGAAAAAAGTGCACGAATTTCACGAATGGAGGCCGGGTCCTTTTCCAAAATGTGGTTCTCACCTTAGCACCGCGCAGATTCGTCTGAGGAGTTCACAGCAGCCTCAAGAGTTCTTATGGCTGACATCCCAGAAATGATGTTCTGGCCCGACGTAAGATTACCATGGTGCAAAAGTCGCGTTGATTCGCAGCGTTGCTATCCCAGGAATGGCGTTTTGGAAGTATTCAGGAGTCAGGACGCAACAGTAACGTTGATTCGCGGCGTTGAAGTCCCAGGAACGAGTTTGTGGGCACGGTTCAGGATTTTCTGACGGGTGTCTTCCCACGGGACACTTCCTTCAGTGAAAACAAATCACTGTAGGGGCCTGCGAAGAGGGAAATGGAAAGGAGGGTTCATTGCAACATAGTTGATGAAATCTTGGGTTTGCACTGGTCCTCCTCCTCATTACACTCTCTATATCCCCCTCGTCATCCTCATCCTGCTCCACCCCATGTCCCCAAAAGCACCTACCCCTGTCGCAACCCCAAAGGTGTCTGTAGGGCGGGCCGAGCGTTTCGCCTGACACTTCCTCACCAGTTATGATCCTGAAATTTGAAATGTGCTACAAGTTCACAAATTGAGGGCGGGTAGTTTTCAAAATGTGGTTCTCGCCATAGCGCGGCACACATTCGTCTTGAAAGTTTGCAACAGGTTCACACATTGCGGGCGGGTCGTTTTCGAAATGCGTTTTTCGCTATATCACCACGCACGTTCGACTTGATTTTTTTACAGAAGTCTCACGGATGGAAGGCGGGCGGTTCTCAAGATGTGGTCCTCGCCCCAGCGCCCCGCACTTTCGTCACGCAAGTCTGCAGAAGTTGCACGGATGGAAGGCGGGTCCTTTCCAAAATGTGGCTCTCACCTGATCGCCGCGCACATTCGTCTGAAAACATTCACACCAGCCTCAAGGATTCTTATGACTGTCGTCCCAAAACTGGCCTTTGGGCATAGTGTAGGACTGTCAAAACGTAACAGTCACGTTGATCCGCGGAGTTGAAGCCCCAGGAAAGGTGTTTTGACATGGCGCAAGGGATCTATGAAAATGGAACACGGGGGGGATGTTTACTGCAGCATCGTTAATGCGTCTTGGGTTTATCATGATCCTCCTCCTCCTCCTCCCCCTCCTCCTCCTCCTCCTCCTCCTCCTCCTCCTCCTCCTCCTTCTCCTCCACTCCTCCCCGTCCTCCTCCTCCTCCTCCTCCTCCTCCTCCTTCTCCTTCTTCTCCTCCCCATCCTCCTCCTCCTCATCCTCCTCCTCCTCCACCTCCTCCTTCTCCTCCACACGGCAAGCCGCGGGTCTCTCCACCGAGCGCCTGGCCTACAGCGGCGGACAGGGTCTCGGAAGCGGTTCCGCTCAACCCGGGCCAGCGAGCGCGGCACCAGACTTCTGCTGCAGTCGCCCACCCCAGCGCCCGCAACGCCTAGCCGCCCAGCGCAGCCAGCCCCGTCTGCGCGACGCGGCGTACGACCTCCGCCTCGAGGTCGGCGCGCAGCTGCTGGAGGTTCGGCACCGCATCCTGGCCACCACCAGGCCGCATCCAGCCGTGCTCCATGCTCTCGCGGTGCAGCATCATGATCGCATGCTGC